CAGAGTATCAGTTGTTTCCCCTCCTGATTATGGACTGAGTTGGGAGCTGCAGCTCATTGCTCCTCTCCAACATCATGAGAAAATATTGCACTACGTAGTGCCCTCCCAGGAAAGTACCGAAATTCAAAATTCAAGCACAGTTTCTACTGAATGTGTATTGCTTTCACACCAGTGTAGTAAAGAATCATTAAGTTGAACCATCACAAGTAAGGGACATGAAGAGAGGCAATCTCAATGCTTGGCCCAATAAGAATGGGCCTTGGGTCTAGAATACTTCCTTGCTGTTATGGTTTAGATATGAGGTGTCCCCAAATCTCATGAGTGAGACAATGAAAGATAGATTAGAGGTGAAACGATTGGGTTACGAGAGCCTTAACCTAATCAGTGTGTTAATAATGGATTAACTAGGGGTTACGTTATGGTCTGAGTTGAAAGTTAAGTCAGGCTGACTCCATTCTGCTCAGACATCTCAACAGCACAGAATTGCACACCCCCCTTTCCTCATGAGCCCACTTGCATAGGAGCTGACACCCTCACTCATTTGCACCCTGACCACAATGTCTTTAAACTCTGGAGCTGTTCTGAGCAGATACAAGAAATGTGAATTCTAAGAATGTTCTGTTAGTTGGTACTTTCCACTGTTACAACTTATGGTGGTGCTTGCCTCTCCCACCGGCTCCTTTGTTGTTTTCCTGTTTCAATGGCCCCTCCACCTGCATTCACTGTCTTGGACTGCAGAACTGTCTGCTTTCTGCTCCCTTGGCCCTGGCCAGAATAAACCCTTTGTCTTTTCTTCAATTTCTCATTTAAAATTTTAGAATCACACCTTAACAGTAACAGCAGCCATGGAGGGTGTGGCTGTAGGAGGTGGGTCACTGTGTACATGTCTTTGCGGTTTATATTTTGTCCCTAATAAGCAGAGCTCTCCCTGATTCCTTGTTGCCATTTCTTGAGATGGTCTCCTCTGCCACGTCCTTCAGCCATACTGCTCTTCCTCACCTCAGATCTAAAGCTATGGAGTCCACCTTCTATGGACTGAGACCTCTGAAACAGTTAGGCCCAAATAAACTTTTCCTTCTCTACATTGTTCTTCTCAGGTCTTTTGGTCATAGCAGCAAAAAAGTTGACTAAAACACTTACTAAGAGATGAAGAGCCCACCAGTCTGCAGAGCTTATCCCATGTGTGGGGTATCTTTCCTCCTTTCAAGCTCAATGTATACTCCTTTGTTCACCTGAAGCAGGTATGTCAATGGCCCTCAGACACATGCCCAGCTTTCAGTATTTCAAACTCCACGGGGAAGGTGAGGGTCCTTCTAGTGCAATGACGAGAGGTATATGAAGTCCACTCGTTCTATATCTGCTGCTAGGGACCCACTAGCAATGAGACCAATGCGTTTTTGGAGCTGATGTCTTTTCTCCGAGTCAAATGGCTTTTTCATTTGTGCTTGACTGTGTTATGATTTCCTTAGCAATTCTGATACCCAGACTCAGTAGTGGGCCGAAGTTTAGGAACATCTACTGCGGGAGGTTGGCATAGTGCTGACCTTTGCTATTTTCCAAGTGGTTGGGATCATTGGTAACTGTGCGTGGTGTTCCACTTGATAGCAGATTGACAGATTAGAGCAAGTGCAAACTGGAATAGGGAAGAAGTTTTAACTTGAATGAGCAGTGTATTAGATTTGAATGGATGCTTTCATGTTAAAAACTCACTAGAGAAACCATGAGATCTTCCTGGGATTTCATCAAAGGATGAGAGGAGGAAATAACAAATTGACTTTATAAAAGCATTGATGAGAAGGAATACAGTTGCTTTTTTCCATGTAGTGAGTCACACCATTACATTACTTAAATTTAAGACCTTGATTACCGAGGTGCTAGAGCCAGCTAGTGAGAGCTATCATGTGTGCTTCTTCCCAACTGCAGTTCAGTGGCATCATGTGAGGTTTCCCATCAACCACAGTGGGAGTATTTACACCATAGAAACTAGCAAATGTTACAAGTCAGATTTTCCTTCTTCTAAGAGCTAGTTTGGACATTTACCAGCACACCACCAGAAAGAACCACGCATCTGAAGTTCTACTGATTTATAGAGCACTTTAATCTGCACAAATGAGAACTAGGAACCAGAAAGAAAGAATTTGGCATTTCCAAGAATAAAGGCTAACAGAGATAATAATAAGCCAAAAAATCAACCCAAATATAAAGGTCACCTCACCTTTGGACATGCCATTCATACTAAATGTCACCAAAGCAAATTAGCTCAAAGGTTAGTGAAGGAGCCAGGAGTTGTGGTGGTGCATGACTAAAATCCCAGCAACTCAGGAGGCTGAGGCAGGAGTATCTCAAGTTTGAGACTAGCCTTGACAACTTAGTGAGACTCTCAGAAAGTTAATGAGACCCTGTCTCAAAATAAAAATAAAAAGGGCTGGGGATGTATCTCAGTGGTAAGGTGCCCACAGGTTCATGGTTCTATCATTCATTCATATATATATATATATATATACACACACACACACACACACACACACACACATTAATGAAGGGATATCAGAAAGAAAAACAGAAAAAAAAAACATAGTCCAGGTACTAAGAGCACCAGACTCATTGACCCTAGGTTGGCTTCTGAATATGCTAAGCTAGTGCTCAACATAAACAGAACTGACAAAAAAAAAAAAAAAACATACACACACACAAAGAAAAAAAAATAGGTAACATCCATGGAAGGAGTCTGCAAAGAAGGCCACCAGCCCTGTTTACAGTTAAGGAAATTCTAAAGACAAGCATATCAGTGTATTTTGAGATTCTTTCTCCAAGATTTGTAACTTTTGTCAATTCACATATTACTTCCCACAGTCCTTAGCAATATAAAAAATACCAATAAAAGAGTTGTTGCAGGACAGGGAGCATAAGGAAGATCTGTACCTAGGAAGAGCCTGGGGAGAGAGCTGGGCAGAGAACATAAACAACCGCAGCTGGAAGAGAAACTGCAGTGCACAGGTGAGGCTCGTCAACGGGTCCTCTGGGGGATTAGCTGCAGGACTCTCCTCATTCCACTGAAGTTCAGAATCAGCATCATTCATGGAGACCATTTTTCTTAGCAAATAATGCCCACATCAGGCACCTCATTAACTTGTGGATTTGCTACACATTCCTTTCTCCTCTCTTATGGTAATTTTGGAGCCTCTGAACTTTATCTTATTGTGAGTCGTTTTTTGAAGTAGAATTATAAACCCCACTAGGATGATTTAAATCGCTTAGAAAAGACCAAAAGCAGCAGTTCTCTCTGTGATGATATTAATACCACTTGAAGATAATGACCTTAACTGCCCGCAGTGACAAGACAGGACTTTGCTCATGCATAAATACTGTTTGGCATACTTGATTGTTTAGGGATGCTAAAAATTCTGTTGAAATGATTGTTAATTTTGTATTTTCCCAGAAGAGCCAAACCATCTATTGTGGGTCTTTCTTCCCATGGATGTTACATCTTGAACCACAAAGAGCTGAAAGATATCACAGAACCTTAAGAGTTGAAAGACAATCTTGTTTAGCCTGTCCATTTTATAAGAGACCCCAGTACTCAGAGACATCAATGAATTATCCAAGATCACATGCATCGGTAGAAATTTTATTGACCTACGTATCAATTAAACACTGAACACCTAGTAAATTCAAAAGGTGATAAAATTAAGGAACACTGCATACTGCAGTAAATGCATTCTAGTTTTCTATTAGTGCATTCTAGTTTTCTATTAGTGCAATGCCGCTTTGTAATGACCAATAGAGCAAGTCTACTGAGGCACAGATCAGTGATTGCATGTTTATGTGATATAAGGTTTAACAGAAAGGGCCCCCAGCTGTTGCAATCGCCTTTCATGCATCCCACTGCCTGGCAGCCCACAAGGAGCTATTCATTTCTGTGAATTAAGTGCTCATACTAAATCCCCAAGACTGTGTGATCCTGGGAAACTCACATAACTTTATGAGCCTTGGTTTTAGTATCATTTTCTTAGGTATTGAAAAATAAACCTGTAAGCAACATCCTGTTTATAAATGTACTGGATATGAAACTCAGGTGTGCAGGAACAATAACAAAAACATTAAAAATAAACCTACAACAACAACTATCTATTCTAGAATGGGCAACAAACCACATCACAAATAGCCAAAATAATCAGTTCTCTTTCCCAGGAAGTATCTGCATTATAACCTTTCTCTTCAGGAAAGAAATGGGATGGCAGGGAGGCAGCTCAATTTCCATACCAAGCTGGAGCTCAGTATTATATTCTATGACCCACCAACAATGGGTGAATTCCAGAGACAGCGCCATATTATCAGAGCATCTCTCAGAATTCAGATCATAGAAAATAGATGTATGAGAGAATTATACATAGGACCGGTATGTTTTAAAAGAAGGAAGTTGGGGAGAAAAAGATTCTTTATACTCCAAAAACCTGAAGGTAAGATTTCAGAAAGCGTCTGGGCACCCATAAAGCATTTCAGTGGTGTTGGGAGGCTACATTACAAAGGACCAAGAAGATGGCTTTGAAAGGGAAGGCAGAGAAGTACATTTTCCAATACTCCAAACCTGCTGGATTATTTTCCTTCACCTGTGCTATAATTTGGGGTTTTCATATGGACTCCACCCTTCGCAGGTGGTTTTTCTCTGAAAGGCATACATTATGTAAGTAGCATTTCCTCCTGTCCTTCAATCATAGCATTTATCCGTAAACCACTCAGCTCATAGCAGCCTCTTAGGGTGGACTCTTACTGAACACACAATTATCCACTCTGGCTGCCATGACTGCTGCATTAATCCGACTGTCTGAGATGGAAATAAAATCAGGCTCCAAGTTCTTAGGAGTTTACCTGACATTCCTAAGTGATTGATTCCTTGCCAATCATGGACTTTTAAATGAAGGCTGGATCTTTAGCAGCCCACAGAACCTTCATCAGACCCAAAATCTTTTTATGCTATGCTAAATAAACAACCCACCTACCTGTCCAACTCTGATCACACACTCAGAGACCAAAGGGCAGGTAATTTTCCACTAAGGCTCATCCGCCTTGCCTGCCGTCCAAGTCTATGCTGCTGATGTGCTAAGACAGAACCTTTGTCTTCAGTGTCTCCCCTGGCAGGCTAGTTATAAATTCACCAGTGCAAATTATCATGCAGGGAAAGGCTGCAATTCCACTCTGCCGGAGCCAGCTGATTTTCGTTTTAAAGGTGAGCCAGCCCCCAGTTCCTGAAAGCAACTTTCCCTCCTCACATCTAGCTTTCACACACTTGCAGAAACCATTATTAAAGGCTTTTTTCCCCCTCTCTTCCTCTCCAAGTCTATTAGGAGACACTTCCTAAGTACAGAGTACACTCAAAATTGTAAAGTGGAGAGGTTTGTGTTCCTGACCTCAAAACCACTGTGGCACCTTCCTGGTAATTTCTTTCTCAGTAGAGTCCATTCCCTGGTAATGGTTTTCTGATGTGTCAATGGGACTGAGCCACAATCAAACACTAATCAGGATGCAGCTGTCAAAGGATTTTACAGATTTAATTAAAGTCCCTACTCAGTTGACTTTACCGAAGGTTGATTATCCAGGATAGTCTGGGTAGGTCTGGCTTTAACAGTTAGAAGGCTTTGAAAAGCTTGTCTGAAGCTTCCCTGAAAGAAGAAATACCACCTGTAGATAACAGTTTAGGCCTGTGCCCTGGAGATCTGTGCTGCATGTACTCTTCCCCTCCTTCTGGTCCTACTTCTGGTTGAACACTGACTGTTATAGCTCCTCCCTGCCACAGCTGTCCCACTGGGAATTCCGATCAGGGAACCTGTACTCAGGACTTTCCTCTCCCTCTTCCTTCACTCACTGGTAACTTGTGTTCCTTAAACAAAAACTGGGACTTGGGGTCTAATGATAGATTTTTTTAAAAATTTCTTTGTGAATGCATTGAAAGGAAATCCCTGATAAGAGTGTAAATATTAAACTCTATATAATTATTCATATAATATTCCATATTTATCAAAAGGAATAAGTTTACTTGAGATGGCTATATTCAAGGTAACCTAGGGCATAGACCCCTTCTGTACTCTCTTCCCACTGGAAATGAATATTATTTTATTTTTGCTATATTAGCTGAGTGGCCACTGAATGCTTATGCCATACACTCCTAATACTTCTCATGAGGAATATTTATTTTTACAGAATTTTTACAAAGTTATTGCTTCATATGTTAGTGGTTCTAAAAGTATGGTTTCCTGACCAGCAGCTTAAGCATCATTTAAAATCTTGTTAAATATAGCTGGGCGTTGTGGCGCATGCCTGTAATCCCAGAAACTCAGGAAGCTAAGGCAGGAGGATTGCAAATTCAAAGCCAGCCTCAGGAAAAGCAAGGTGCTAAGCAACTCAGTAAGACCCTGTCTCTAAGTAAAATACAAAATAGGGTTAGAGGTGTGGTTCAGTGGTCGAGTGCCCTTGAATTTCATCCCCAGAACAAAAAAAAAAAAATCTTGTTAAATATAGAAATTCAAATTTCATGATCTCCTAGGGAGGGAGGGGAGTCCCAGCAACCTGTGATTTGGCCCTGCAGGGACAGAATCAAGGTATCTTAAGCAGGGCTCTGAGTAGGTATGGTTTGCGGTAGCTGAACAGCTCACATGCATTCTCCTTTATGAAAGATGAAAGGTTTTGACTCATGGGTGAAATGATTTCATGGTAGCTTTCCTGCATTATGACCCTCCCAGCTATAGGGGCCAACCCCTGACTCAGGCTAAGCCTTCTACTTCCTAACACCTGCAATTTCATAGTTTGAACTGACAAGATCACTCTAGTTGAGTTACTATAGATGGTGCTCTAGAAGTTAAACACATACGAGGTGGGAGGTTCCAAGGCTGAGGCAGTTCACATACATTCCAAAGTGCTGAACTCTTGGCATTGGCAGTACATGCCAACTCTCCTAATAAACTCATTTTTATTGCTTTATTTATAATTTCCAGTTGCATTCTTCTATATCTTAATTGATTAACTTTCTAAAAGAGCCCACATGTGACCAGTACCATGGCTCTCAGTCTTGGATTAAGAAGTTGTTCTTAAACAGAATGACACCAGGTTATGCCCTTCATCATCCTAACTTATCTTATATACCATCTCCTCCAGGAAGCCCTCTAGGACCCTTCAAGTCTTTACTAGCTACCATTTTTCAGGCTCTCCCAGTGTTGATCAGGAGCCTACATCAACTCCTACTCCTTTCAAACTCTGCCTTTATCTTCAATCTAATGCCTTTCCACTCCACCAGCCTCTGCTTCAGAGACTCTAACAAGTATAAAATATCTGAAAGATGGAGTTGAAGGTCAAGGAAAGGAGATTCTATTAATAGGTTCAAACTAAAAGCCTTGACCATGTCAGTGAATTCATTCAACACAAGATCCATTGATAAGCTTTGACTTTATGGACAAAATCAGAATCAGCAAAGTATTGGAAAAATAATGTGAAGTTTAGCTTTAAATAGTTATTCTTTACTCAGAAATTGATAATAATGTCTATATGCTGGCATGATATTGTGAAGGACTAGCCTGTTATTCTTCCTATGTCTGCTCCCTTGTATGCCTCCAAGTTCAGGCTTTTGGGAAGGAGAATTCCATAAGCTGCATTCCTTGTGTGTGTGTGTGTGTGTGTGTGTGTGTGTGTGTGTGTGTCATTAAACCTACAGAGAGAACTATGGGGTCAAATTTTAGCTTTTCATTTGTAAAAAGTTTATTTTCCCTGGTACCATGACCCACACCCCTCCATTCCTCATCTCCAGAGTAGACAGAAACCCTTCTGTCTAAAGGGGAAAAAGGAAAGATGCAAAGCAATTGCTAGATTTTTAGCAAAGTTTATCCCTCAAAGGTTCATGTGGGGGAAGCTTGGTCCCCAGTATGGCGGGGCTGAGATGGTGGGACCTTAAAGTGGTGGGGCCTGGTGGAAGGTAGTTAGGTCATGGGGACCACACCCCCAAGAATGGATTAATGCTTGTCTCTTAAAGTGGGTTAGGTCTCATGCCTTGGACCCTTCTGCACATGGCCATTTCCCTTTCTCCTTCACAAAGGCGCGATGCAACCAAAGGTGGCTTCCCCAAGACACTAGCACCATGCTGTTTCCACCTTCCAGCTAAAATAACTCATGAGCCAAATAGACCTTTTCACAGTGTCTAGCCTCAGGTATTTTGTTATAGAAACACAAAATGGACTAAGACAGTAATTTAAACCAGTTAGTCAACAAAAGAGTGAGTTTTAGCCATATTGGGAAATTTTCAAGGAATTTAGATAATCTTACTCCACAATTACAAGGCAAAGAGAGAATAAAGAGAAAAGGAGCAGAAGACAGAAAGAAAAAAAAAGAAAATTAATTTTTTTCCAAACCTAGGACTTCATGCATGTTAAGCACACACCCTACCACTGATCTACATCCCTAGCACAAAATAACATATCTTAATCCTGTCAAGCCCTTGTTTGGAGTCACAACCAGTCTCCCGGGAGCCCCAACCCACAGGATAGTCATCATGCCCAGGAAAAGCAGAGAAGCTTGTGTGATGGTTTAGATATGAGGTGCTCTCCAAAAGCTCACGTGTGATACAATGCAAGAAAGATTAGAGGTGAAATGACTGGGTTATGAGAGCCTTAACCCAATCAGTGCATTAATCCCCTGTAGGGATTAACAGAGTGGTAACTATAGGCAGGTAGGGTGTGCAGAAGGTGAGTCCCTAGGAGTCCACCCTTGGGATACACATTTTGTCTGTGGTGAGCAAAGCTCTCTCCCTCTGCTTCTTGGTGTGATGTACCCAGCTGCTTTCCTCTGCCACACACTTCTGCCCTGATGATCTGCCTCCCCTCAGGTCCTGACCAATGGAGTAGGCCATCAGTGGACTGAGACCTCTGAAAAAATAAGCTCCAAAATAGACTTTTCCTCCTTAAAATTGTTGTCAGGTCTTTTGGTCACAGCAGCAAAGAAGCTGACTAAAACAGTTTGCCTGCAACCATCCAAGCGAAATGTCCAAACATCCTATAACAGCATAGAAAAGCATCACGGAATACTGGAGAAACAAGAACCAAATTGGGGAAAATCTGAGTGTGTTGACCTCAGAATTACGACCTGCTACTTGAGATTTTCTCAGAAGATGACAGCAGGAATTCCATGCCCTTCCTTGAATTGATGTCATTTCTGGATGCCCTCAGGCTGGCTGGGATTGCTAAGCTGTCCTGAACTCATTTGCTTGTTTTTGGTTTTTACCCAAAATCTTGGCAAGGTCAGGTTTCATGCGTGCCCTTTAGATCTTTCTCGCTGCTCCTCCACCTGCTATTTTCTGATTTGGGTTCTGGTCCTTTCTCCCCCACCACCACCTCAATGTCTTATCTTCTCCTTTTATCCACAGCCCCTTCACACAGCAGCATCTGGGATATGGGCATGCCTGGATGGGCTCTCATTCCACTAAGACACAGCCCCCCTTTCATGCTCTGCTCTGGACCTATGTTTTAGAACTTGCTGTTGAGCAGCAATATTGCTCACTATTTTTGTGTGTGTTTAGGAAGACTATGTTTAGGAACATTCGAGTCAGAATTAGGAAAGCTGTTTTCCAGCCCCACACTTCAGTTCCTGAAATAGCTGGAAAAACACTTAATTTTTTTAACCATTAGCCTGCTCATCTGTTAAATACATAAATTAAGTGAAATTTCCATTAAGTTTCTTCCAGTTGTAAAATGCTATGATCCTCCGTGAGAAAAAAAAAAAAAGATACATCTAAACTTCAGATATTCTGGGGAATGGAATTAATTTTGCTTTAGGTACCAGGAAAGAGTTTTCTGTCTTATGACAGGATAATAATATAAAATGCCCCTACCAGATATTCATTCAAAACCACTACCACAAATAATAATTCCTTATTTTCTTCTGTCTCATTTTCTTACTTTCCTCAAAAGTATTAATTTCTACAGTGATGGAGGGTTTTTTTTCATACATTTTTGTCTCCTTCCTGGCTTACAAAATAGGAAGCTGGATCAAGTCAAAACTTGCCTCCCCCTCCACACTGCTAGAGCCTGTTATTTGCTTCTTCAGGACATGAGCTAATGTCACTCACTGTCATC